CCCCCCATCTACTAGATGCAGAGTAAAAAAAATGAATAAATAAAACTTTCACTCGACTCTGTAAAAAACTAAAAAATCAAGTCCTAAAAACTTCATTCACACTTAAAATCAGTCCACTTTTTTAAAACCTATAAGCTTTCACACTGACTTTTAAAGATAGACTTGAAATGTTACTCTCCTTCCCCCTGTTTCCATCCCCCTCCTTCTCCAAAAAAACCAAAGTACGAAGAAAACCAAAAAAAAAAAATTGGAGCAGGTATTATTGTTGTTGGTTGACCACCATACTGTCCTCATTACAGTTCATTTAACCGCTGCGTTCAGTAACAGTGGACTCGCAGAATCTAAACCTGTTACACAAAAACTAAAAACATTTCTTTTCAAATCTTTAAACACCCAACAGAATAACACAAAATAACTTGTTTCCTTCCTGTTATTCCATGAAGCGGCGCTCCAATGTCGGTCTAAACTGCAAAATAAATTTCACTCCACACCAGAGACCGTAGCTTTTGAACAGCTAATTAAATTTCTAACTGGAAAGATCTGCTTCAGAAACCTAGATGACAACTTAATAAAGAGTCCTCAAGCAATCAACTTTTAACGATTTAATAAAAAAAAAAACTTGGAAATATGAATAAAAATAAGAAACATGAGCATAAACCAATATTATCTGGTGTAAAGCTATTGTTTTAAAGTCCAATACACACTTTTTTCAGTGCCAAAGATGACTCTAACGACAGTCAGAATCCCTCCCTTTCCCTCTAAACAACACCAAAGGCACCAACAACATCGTCACCTTCGCTAGTAAATTGTGATGTACCATCAAAGCAATTTCCATAATTAATTAATGTCAAAACAAATATCTCGACGTTTAGATGTTCTTTCCGTTCTTTTTTTTTTACTAAACCAAACGAAAAATGACAGTGAGAACAACAAATTTAACCTAGTAAAAAAGTGTGCCCATCAGCGACATCTACCAGATACGTAAGAAAAGAAAAACTCTCTCACTTTCTAAATACATTCAAAAACGTCTAAAAAAAATTCACTCCACTCTATAAAACAGTATATGCTTCGATAAGACTTAATCGATACAGAAGTTGCGTCCTTCAACCATTATAAAAGTAATTACTGCACAGATACATCCAGTGTTAAATCTCGAGACTCAACTAAGCCACTCTTTTCTTTCTTTCTTGTCATGTCGTCAACAATCGCTGAATATTAAACAACCTTTTTCTCACTAGCCAAAATAATGACCTTTCAACTCCGAAAAACAAGTTACCCGTTGTCACCTGGTTCTAGGAACTACAGTAATCCGTCGAAACTAAAAGCCACTACAGAATTAGCTCCTACAGTCTTTTACCTGCGATAATCCCAGCAAAGACGAGAGTGCAAGAAATAAAAGCAAAGGGGAAACTCATAAAAAGTAAAACTGGACAGGAAAAAGAAAAAAAACATTGAATACTTGCCAGAAGATGAAGGAATGGAAAAGACAGCGTCTCTATTTTGCGGAAAGGTTGAGTGGGATAAAAACAGTATGAAAAAGAATTAAACAAGAGATTAATTGCTGCCCACACTATCGATTGCAGTCCACTTATGCTTTGTTAGAATTTTCTTTTTTCAGCAACAGTTATCAGAAAACCAAAGCAATTAAAGAAAGAAAAAAATTAATGAGCAATATATTTACCAGAATAAAAAGTTTGTGTACCTGAGTTTTTTCTCACAAAAGAAGCATCATTAAACCTTTGATTTTACGGACTCTACAGCACAAATAGCGCACAAAAACACATAAAAAAAAGTAAAAAAATTATTTTCAGTAATCACTCTCAACTAAATGTAAAATATGCCGACAAATAAATGCAAATTAATTGACTTTTTAAATAAATTCATTATGATTACTATAAGTCTGTCAACTATTGGCTTCGCACAATAAATGACAAAACTAGAAATATTAGAACTGGTGCACTTTTTTCCACGACACAAAGAAAGAATCCTTTAAACAGAGATTTCACTGTTTTCTAAACCATGACCATACGTAACACCAAAAACAGGCAAAACTTTGCTAAAACTCCATTTCTACTTCTAAATCATCATTTAGAAAATGACTCATTTTTTTCACTACCTAACACCGCCGTCTCATTTCCTTCATTTACTTCGTTAAATCCCTAAACAAAAAAGGTTCAGTACAGCTCTACTAACGTCTTAAAAAGTTTAGTAATTAAAGTTCAAATCTTAAACACATTATGACAGTATTTTCGATGCAAATTCGATTTTTTTTTCTTAATTCCTCCAGATATTAAAAATTCCTTCAAAATTAACGAACTATACCTCCTTACAATTTTTCCAAAATCTAATTCCACACGTGTACTAACCAACTGTGAAATCACGGACTCATTTTGTTAAAAAAATTAATAAAAAATACTTCTGCAAAAACCACAAAGTTTTTTAAATCTGAATGTGATGGCAAAAAATCCTATTATCGACCTTGTAATACACTTCACTTTAATGCCAATTACTTTCAAAAATCAAAAAAAAACTTTCCTGCCACACTGTTAAATAATTTTATACCTTTCCTTTTTTATACCTTTCCTTTTTACACTTATTTATGTAAAGCTTGGCTAATTCTATCTCTAACTCGCCATTTTCCCCACGGCTTTAATGCTTAAAAAATTATTTTTCAACTTCGACAAAAGACCTCCTGTTTGCCCAAGAGACGCATCAAAAAATACCAATGGCATCTCAGAGTTTTTGATAAAAAATCGAACAACCTCGTGCTGAAATAAAAATTCTGAACAAAACTGCTTCAACAAGAAACAGCAGCAGACAATACCAAGCACTAAAACAAAAAAAATAAATAAATACAAAATTTGCTCAAAAGTCCGTATTTCCCTAGAATAAATAACGACATGAAAGGCGGATGAAAGCAGCTACAAGACAAAAGAGGTTTGTGCCCAAAATATCTTGTAATAAATTTACAATGTTTTTCAAACTCAAATCAACAGGCTTTCACCAGTCACCTACCGCCCTTAACAACTCTGATCAAGTAATTCAACAGCGGCATAAGGTAGAAACATAAGAATTTTTTTAAATATTCTAAAGCACTGTACACATATATCTTCGTCTTATACTTTTTCCTGACATTCTCAAAAGGAAAAAAAAACAATTTGGTTAAAAAACATAGCTAAAAGAAGTAAAACAGATCGAGAGATTTATACTAAAAAATCCTTTCCAAATAAATTTGTCTTAAAAATCAGCGAAACAAACAATTATAAATCCTACTGACGCCAAATTTGCTAACCAAGTCAAAACTCATATATA